GTCCAGCCCCATTCAGAATGGAGTGCATGATGTGTTGTATTTTATATCTATCTTTCTTCCCTGTATCTTACTTTTTTTTAATTTTGATTATTTTTGTTGTAAGCTGCCCGGAGTCCCACAGAATTGGGCGGCATATAAATGTTATTAAACTTATAAACTCTTGAGGATGTCTTGTTGAAGAACCCTCTAAAAGCCCAGCTATGCCTTGATGAACGAAACGTTGGGTGATTGCCTTTCTCCGCCAGGGGCTCTCTAATTTCTACACCCCACAACCACAAAATGAACACAATCACAGAACAGCCATGCTTCCAAGGTTTATTACTCCCTTGAGGGAAAGTTGGATGATACAGGAGGCTACAGAGCCCAAGCGGTTGAAGAGCATTGAACATCTCTGTCCATCCCAAGAATGGTGGCCCTTCTCCTGCGAGAAAGCCACACCACCGTCACAAACGGGTGATCGGATGTTAAGCAAGCAGAGCCTCTGCGCCAGAAACAACAACAACAAGAAGAAGAAGATGGGAAGATAGGCTTAGCTTCGTAGCATTGTAACTCAGCAAGATGGAGCCAACAAAACTTCCTAAAGTTGAGATTTGGTTCTCCGGAGTCTAACAGCATTTCTTTGGAGGACAGCAACTTTGTGTGAACTGTACAGGGGGGAGGCATTTCATCGCCGGCGGGGAACAGTACTGCATGGGGCTGGGGCACGGCATTTTGGGGGCACAACAGGGGGCACAACAGGGGGCACAACAGCAGCTGCACCCGCAACACGATGGAGAAACGTGGTAAGATTGTCCAGGAGCACAAATAATCTTGCTGGTGCTGGTTCCACAACAAGGCTGGCAACAATTACAACAATTGCAATGCATCTTGGTTCTTTCTGAAATGCAGACAGAAGGGTGAGGTACACACATATACACAAAAAAACAAGCATAGAGAAGACGGATCTGCTTTGGGAAAGGCTAAGCTGGAAGAACCCACCAAAACATGGCAGGTGAATCTTCAATAAACGCAATTAGTGCGGTGGCCTACAGGTGGCGCTCTCGCCTCACCGTCAGGAGGCTGTGAACTCAATCCTAGGTAGAGGGATACATTTCTCTCTCTGGGCACAATGAGAATATAACTCCTCATTGGCAACATGGAAGGGCGTCGGGCCAGTAAAACACTCAGATCCATTCAGTTACCCAGATTCTTCTAAGATGTAACCCTATCAACCCCCCGTTGCTTCTAAATGCCAACCTGAAGACATCAAGACTCCAAACTTACCCTGATCGCAAACCGAAGAGCAGATGAAGGCAAGTCAAATCGGTTGGATGGAGAACTTGGGGCTAAGGAAGGCCGTTTTATACGGTTCTAGGTAATTCTCGCCCAGGAAGTGAGACATTAATTGAGAATGGAGAATCCCTTCTTTGCCAATCAAGAAACGTTTTGTTCGTTTATTGTCTTCGGGCTGAAAATAAATTGTTGTGATTTTGAGATCCTTGAAAATCTCAAAAGCTGGAATGGTGACAGCGACTCTGCGAAAATCCAGAAAATCCAGTCTTAGTGCTGGAAGACAAGAACCCTAAAAGTACATTTTTTTTGAGGATATTGGAATGCAAACATCAGGACCACAATATTCCAGGAATTTGCTTTATGACGCAATGCAAGCAGGGGAGCCATTTGTTTCTTTATTTCTGGGTTTATTCGATTTCGATAGCTGCCCAAGTGATTCTGGGCAGCTTACAATTATCTTTTTTTGCCAGCTAGATGGACCCATTTGGGCTGTCGAGAGATACTGCTATGATTTACAAATCTCATCACTTTCCTCAATTAGATGTACGATAATAAATGGCAGTTGCTAAGAAAAAAAATCCTTCCTTTCCTCCTTCCTTTTCCTTCCTTCCTTCTCTCTATCCTTCCTTCCATCCTTCCTTTCTCCTTTCCCTTCCTTTTCCTTCCTTCCTTCTCTCCTTCCTCCCTTCTTTCCTTCTTTCTCTCTCTCCTTCCATCCTTCCTTTCTCTTTTCCCTTCCCTTCCTTTTCCTTCCTTCCTTCCCTCCTTCTCTCTATCCTTCCATCCTTCCTTTCTCCTTTCCCTTCCCTTCCTTTTCGTTCCTTCCTTCTCTCCTTCCTCCCTTCTTTCCTTCCTTCTCTCTATCCTTCCATCCTTCCTTTCTCTTTTCCCTTCCCTTCCTTTTCCTTCCTTCCTTCTCTCTATCCTTCCTTCCATCCTTCCTCTCCCCTTTCCCTTCCCTTCCTTTTCCTTCCTTCCTTCTCTCCTTCCTTTCCTTCCTTCTCTATCCTTCCATCCTTCCTTTCTCCTTTTCCTTCCTGTCCTTTTCCTTCCTTCCTTCCCTCCTTCTCTCTATCCTTCCTTTCTCTTTTTCTTTCCCTTCCCTTCCTTTCCCTTCCTTCCTTCCTCCCTCTCTTCCTCTCTCCCTTATAATCCCCACAGGGAACCAAAACCGCGAGTAACAAAATCTTGCCGAAAACATTTCTCCCCCTTCCTTGCCTTTGTTTTTCCAAGAATTAAAGAGGGTCCCTTCGGAGACACCTTCCCCCACTCCCTTTCCTCCTGCGGGCTGAGATATCTCTTATCAGGCCATTGGTCTGGATGCGGCTCTTCCTCCTGTCCCCCAAGGCCATTCCCACAACCCACTACATGGACTGTGCGGACCCATTGGGTCTGAGGAAACATTTGGGGAAAGTGGCCCATGTTCAGATGTCCCAGGGAAAAACTGACATCTCCACAATGATTCCTCTTGGAGCAATTGGAAATAGGGGTTGTGGGGCTAAGTGTGGGAATCTTTTTCGCCTTCATTCTTGCAATTAATTATCCAGCATAATTATTATGATTCAACCAGCTCTCTCACTCCCTGGGGTTGTCTGTCAGTAGTGGCAACTGCTTCCTTACTCCTCATTTGCAAATGGTTCCCTACAGGGCACCGTGTAGATTAACCCAGGAGGCAAATACGAGCCTTGGTTGGTCCATCAACATTCTTTAAAAGGCCACCTCATTTCCGGAGACTGGCAAATCACATCTATATAAGGTTTCCAGCATTCTGTTCTGTCCTAGGCTTCCCAAGAGCATGAAGCAAACTCCTTGTTGTCCCGACAAAAACCCCTTTTATTAGTTTGTGGTGAATTCTGCTCATTCACATCCAGCAAAGTCTTTCGAGGGAGGATTTACGGTCACAGACCCTGTCAGGCTTGGAGAGCTGCCAGGCCGATCTCTGCAAAACTTAGCATGGAGTCTCGGAGAGTCACAAACCAATTAAGCGAACTAATTGTCTCCTGCAAACTCCACTCCTCTTTCGCTCCTCTTTTATTTCCTCTGGGAGGGGCCATTCACCGTCCACCTGTGGTTTTACTCCTGTTCTTTAGCTGTTCCCTTTGTCCTTCAATTCTGCACAGACTAGGAACAGGCTCCAGCTGTTCTTCCACCCCACTGATCTCCAACTCCGAAGGCAGCTGATAGCCGTCATACGGTTCTGTCCCCCTCTCTGCCTCCGACACAGAGCCCTCTTCAGAGCCTTCCCCAGGCTCCAGGACTGGCCCATGTTCCTCCCCAACCCTCCTCACTGTCCGAATCTGCTGCCAGCTCTGCTGGTGGGCCACAACACATTCCATTTGTTTCTTCCTATTATTATTTTTTTATATCCTGATCTGCAATGAGCAGAATAAGGTCACCTAGTTTTCCTGGAGATCTGTTGACGTTTTTTTTTACAAATTTGGAACCATTCTGGGATATCCGTGAGAGGTAAATCCAGAAACTGCCTTGTGGAGCTTCCTGGTGCAAGATATACCCCTGAGCACTAAATCAAGAAGACAAGGAGAAGAAGCAGAGAGAAATGGACTAATTCTATGAGAATGGAAGGTCTGTCGAACAAGGCTGGAATAAAATATTTTCATCTGAATTTTTCCTCCTCCTTGCTCTTTTAGGCGAAGCTAAGAAATAGCTACTAGTCCAAGGTCAACCAATAGTTGAGTAGAACTTAAATCTGGCTCTCTAGATCTTAAGCCAGCATTTAATCATCATACCTATTTTAGTTTAAGGAGTTTCATGAATGAAAAACCCAGGTAGTATGTAGATATCTTTCTGAAATATATAGATAGCTATTGAAAAAAACAACATCTATCTACATTACCAGAGAAATATCATATGGACAATTAAAGGCACCCTCTCCAAATTTATGATCTGTCCTCCCGACCCCAATGGGGTTGTCCAATTTACTTATCTTTGATGTTTTGTAAGACGGCCCAGCCTACTGAAGTCACTATCCCTGTCAGATGATCAAAGGACAAGATAATCAAAAGGTGACGTACTCCTAATTGTAACTCAGCTGCAGGCAATTCTCCGTAGCCTCGGGTTACTCTCTTACATCATTTATATCTTGGCTTTTTTTCCCCCCATTGGAAGCCAGATGGCAGATGTTTGGTAAGCTTAGTCACCTCTTTGGATATGCGAAGCATTCGTTCTGCCAAGGCACGAGAAAACGCTTAAAATGACAAATCCAGACCATAACTAACAATTGGGCGATGGGGTATTCTCTCCTTCTTTTTCCAAGGATGGACGGAGCCAGCTGATCACAAGGAATCTTGCCAAATATTATAAAGGCATCTTGTCATCACTCCTTGCTGTCTTTAACTACTGAAGAAGTAGAAGAGTGGGAGTACTTGGTAAGTAACATTTCAATTTTGGGGTCGGCACGATGTAGAAAACGATGTGGAGACTCTAGAAAGAGTGCAGAGAAGAGCAACAAAGAGGATTAGGGGGCTGGAGGATAAAATATACGAAGAACGGTTGCGGGAACTGGGTAGGTCTAGTTTAATGAAAAGAAGGACTAGGGGAGACATGATAACAGTCTTCCAATATCTCAGGGGTTGCCCCAAAGAAGAGGGAGTCAAGCTGTTCTCCAAAGCACCTGAGAGTAGAACAAGAAGCAACTGATGGAAATTAAT